CCTGCTAAACAAGACAAGACCACATGAAATAGGATCAGCTTAGTCACAACCGTCAGGAAGCTTCAGACATATTGTTTATTGCAAATGGACATGTATTATAAATGTATATACAGACACACCTTTGTGATATTACTTCTTGAAGTATGTTCTTATGGAAACTTAACTTTGTTCATCCAGTCAGATTTCCAGAAATTGATCTACTGTGACAATTAATATCTTATTCTCCGACTCTTTGTTATTCTCATTCTGTACTTACTTTGCTTTTATAAAAGATCTTTTAACAAAATTAATTTCTAGGACCATATTCTTAGCGAACTAATGTCATTTGATGAACAATGGCCATTTTCGTTTTTATCTCAAGGATCACACTTGGCATTTGTCTCTGACTTTTCACTCAGTTTGCAATGCATTCTGGTTCCCTTTGGAGGATGTTTGTTCTTTTTTTCTCTGCCTGCTCCCAATATTAAAATCCAACGTAAACTCTTAATTAAGTGGAGTTGACAGAAGTCACATTTTCTCCATAAAGAACAATGGGAATCCATTGGATTTGCCCTATCAAGAAAAAAGAAAATAGTATCTCCAAAAGTAGGCATTGGTAATTAATTAATCCCTAAACTTTTTGAAAAGTATCTGTATTAGTCTATTTTCATGCTGCTGATAAAGTCATACCTGAGACTGGGTAATTTATCTTTTTTTTTTAAAAAAAAAAAACCAAAGAGGTTTAATGGACTCATAGTTCCACATGGCTGGGGAGGCCTCACAATCATGGCAGAAGGCGAAAGGCACATCTTACATGGTGGCGGACAAAGGGAATGAGAGTCAAGAGAAAGGGGAAACCTCTTACAAAATCAGCAGATCTCGTGAGACTTATTCACTACCACAAGAACAGTATGGGAAAAACTGCCCCCATAATTCAATTATCTCCCACCAGTTCCCTCCCACAAGATGTGGGAATTATGGGAGCTATAATTCGAGATAAGATTTGGGTGGGGACACAACTAAACTGTATCATTATCATACATCGTATTCATCTAGTAGTGATCAGGACATCTGTGCACAACCTCAGAGTTGCCTGATTTTTGCTTTTCCGTCTTTACTATCTCATACCAGTGGTTTCCATCCTAAAGTACACAAAACATGCTATTTTTCTGCTCTTTGATTTCCTGAGCAATATACCAGCTACTTTAGAACTGTGCTCCTGTACAGTTCCCCTTTTCTTCACGGCCACCTACAAATCTATTAAGTACTTAAAGACATTTTTTCCTGTGATGGAGATTTTCATGCTTGTTTGTTCTTTCTATGCCAACTTCCTACATCTCTGACTCTCATCCATATGTCCCGACTGCTACCTCTAAAACTAAAAGCTACCATTTATTAAGTGTTTGCTGCATTTCCAAAATCACTCTAAGTACTTTGTCTACATTGTCTCATGTAATCTTCACAGTTTTCTGAGTTGTGTATTATATGTGGCTACTGTCCACATTCCTTCACTAAAGTTGTCATGGATTTTAGTTTATTTTAATTAAACGGCCAATGAAGATTTTGAGAAGTAACTGTGATCACATAACAGAGGTGGGAATGCATTTGAAGATATCTATATTAATTTTCTAAGGCTGCCATAGCAAATTTGCACAAACTTGGCATCTTAAAATAACAGAAATTGATTTTTTTTACAGTTCAGAAGGCCAGAAATCTGTTTTCTCACAGTTCGGGCCAGAAGTCAGAAAGCAGCAGAGTTGGCTCCTTCTGGAGCCTCTCAGGAAAAAACCTGTCCTATGCCTCTTTCCTGGCTTCTGGTGGTTCCCGTCACTCTGTGGTGTTCCTTGATTAGTAGTTGCATCAATCCAATCTCCAACTCTGTCATTGAATGGTCTTCTTTCTTGTATAACCCCCCTACATCTTTGTATTCAAATATCCCTCTCCTTTCTCTTTTAAAGATACTAATCACTGGCCAGATGCGGTGGCTCAGGCCTGTAATCCCAGCACTTTGGGAGGCCGAGGCTTGCTGAACTCGAGGTCAGGAGTTCAAGACCAACCTGGCCAACATGGTGAAACCGTGTCTCACTAAAAATACAAAAATTAGCTGAGCATGGTGGTGCACAAGTGTAATCCCAGCTACTGGGGAGGCTGAGGCAGGAGAATGGCTTGAACCCAGGAGGTGGAGGTTGCAGTGAGCCGAGATCGCGTCACTGCACTCCAGCCTGGGTGACAAGCAAGACTCCATCTCAAATAAAAATAAATAAATAAAAGATACTAATCATTAGATTTAGGTACCACCTTAACTGAGTAGGACTTCATTTTAACTTCATTACATCTCAAAATACTCTATTTCTAAAAAGGGTCTCATTCATAAGTACCAAGGATTAGAATGTGAGCATATATTCTTGGAGGACACAAGTCTACCCACTAAAATGTCTAATTCCAAATTGCATGCTCAATTATACAGTATACAGCACTAAACTACATACTACGGCTTTACTGGGTGACTCCCTTTTAAAGGCCTGCCATGGTCTCAACTATAATACTTCAATTTGTTTTACTTGAGTTGTCCTATACGTTTTTCTAGACCCAATCTCAAGCCATCCTTAGCAAGAATTTTAAGAAAATCTCCCATATTGTGCAAGTACTCAGTCAATGTAGAATAAGCAATGCTTTCCCTGACTAGTTCTATTCTGTTTCTTCTGCTTCCTGAACCTCTAGAAAGATCTTACCTGAGTTTCAGTAGAGTCTCCGTACATCCCACATGAATGATCTAATATCCAACCTCAACAGACTTCAAGTCAGTAATAAGTAAACAGAAAAACTTTGACTCATGTTTAAAATATTTCACTTGCCTTAGCCTCCCAAAGTGTTGGGATTACAGGCATTGGCCACCACGCCCAGGTGGATCACAAGGTCAGGAGTTCAAGACCAGTCTGGCCAAGATGGTGAAACCCTGTCTCCACTAAAAATAAAAAAAAAAAATAGCCAGGCGTGGTGGCAGGCACCTGTAATTCCAGCTTCTCGGGAGGCTGAGGCAGAGGATTGCTTGAACCTGGGAGGCAGAGGTTGCAACGAGCCAAGATCATGTGAGGGCGCTCCAGTCCAGGTGACAGAGCAAGGCTCCGTTTCAAAAAATAATAATAATAAAATAAAATAATTCACTCATGAATTAATTTATTCAATAAGTATTTCATTCAAGTACATACATAATTAGTACACGGTTCCAATGATCTTTGATTTAAAATCTTGGAAATAGCTTTAATTATATATTATATTTACATTGATATCCACTCAGGTATGAATATTCTCCATAAAATTTTTGGTTTCTCCCTTTCCACTCTTTTGTGAAATGTTTGGCTTCCTTGTCTGCTAACACTTTTTAATATGACAATTATCATTAATTATTCACAAAGTGAGTTAATATTTGCTACATATTTAATGTCTAATTTGTTTCACTATTTTGAATGTACTGTACCTGCCTTCTGAAAAGAATGCAAAGACCTCAAAGTCAAGCACATAATATAATATCCTTATGGTTTTGCACCCTACTATTCTTTCAGTACTCAATAACTAGTGATGAACAGCAAATATAATTATATATGTACATATAGAGAGAGAACATTTGTGTATATATAGAACATATATATACACACACATTCACACATATATATGTGTGTATGTGTATATATATATGAAACATAAGAATTTATGTGTAGCTATGCTGAACATTTGGCTATCAGATAAAACTGTAGCTTTGCAAATACTTAAGAACAGAAAAAATGAGATTGCTCCTAGGTGTGGGGTGCCCAAAAGAAATGGAATCAGATGTTTTTGTTAATAGGTAATGCCCCAAATCTTATCAGTCATAAGCACTGGGGCAGACAGAGCTGTGCTTAGATATTCTAACATGGTATACCTTTACTAGTACCTTGGTTAGCAAAAAAGATACCCCGTCTAGGTGGACAAATCAGAAAAAGAGACCAGCTCTTAATAGGTCAAGCTTAAGAGCATATGGCTTGGTGATGGTGGCAGAGATGGAATTTTAGACTCTCCAGCTCCCTCCACAAGGCACTATTGTGCAGCACACACATTGCACAAACTCACGGAGTAGTCTTGGCCTTAGCTGAGGGGACAAAAAGAATTATTGGGTTAAGAAATGAGATTTAACAGCTTACATAAATCCTTCACATGTTTTAAGCACTTTTTGGACATCAATGCCTTACATTAATTAATCCATTTAATTCTTCTACATGCTATGAGCCTATCCACACCCATTTTACTCATGTGGAAACCAAGGCACAGGGAGGTTAAATGACTTGTCCAAGGTCACACAATCTTTGAGTGGTGGATTCTGGATTCAAGCACATGCAGCCTGATACTGAGACTGTGTTCATGAACACTTTACTGCCTTTAAACTTCAGAAATTAGAATACATGTGAATTCCTGGGACTAACTATTAAAAAAATATAAGAAGCTGTAATAAGTAGGAGGCGTTATTAAATCAAAGAACTCACTTCGGGAAATACCAGCTTAGAACTTCATAGGCTTATGATAGGATTTATAAACAATCAAAGTATCAAGTTGATAAGCCATTCTGCGACTTGTAGATAAATATCTTATCAGTTTTTGTACCAGGCTGAAATCCTTTCTCAAGAGACTAAATCACCAAAGGGATTAGCTCTTTGTTTTGTGTGCAATTTTTCCACTGCCAGTAATTTTGTTTTCTGAGTAGTGAAACAAGTAATTCCCAAATTAAGACCATGTTAGGACTATAGGTCCTCATTTTCCTAATTGCAAAGAAAATCATTTTAAAAGTAATTTTCCCCTCAGAAGCAATTCCAAGACTGAAGATTAAATATACAGAGAAGCCATGATTCAGGCTTTAAAAAAAGAAAAATAGCTTTTTAAAGGAGTAGAAGTGAAAACAGTTAAAGTCAATATATTTAATTACTAAGATTTTATTGTATCTTTTACTCACATAAAAAGACAAAAATAAAACATGTTTCTGGTTTTCACAGTAACTGATCTGATAATGTCAACTTTTGAAAACGGATAGTTACGACTCAGGGCTTTGAGAATGTAAAGAGACCACCTTTGCATGTTGGGAAACGGTACGATTTCACGTTGTCAATGCAGTTCCCTTCTCGGGGGAAAGGTAAGCACATAGCTAACCCCAGCTCCCAGCTGCTATTTCATGATAACAGCTCACGGAGCTGTGGGGCTGCTGAGCCTTTCCTATCTTGTTCTGGAATTCCTCTGTGACCCATCTGTACTACCAGAGGACTGGATGCTCAAAGTAGACACTTGGTCTCATGAAGCCACTACTGGGCTCCAGAGAGAAGGAAAAACTAAGAAGTTTTAAGACCTCCACCCTCCTTGGTTTACCTCCGTCATCAAAAAACAACAATGACAACAACAACACAAAACAAAACTAAACGACTTATTATTTATTAATTATGCTGCGGCAGACAATATGCTGAACATTAGGCATAATTCAATTCTTTTGTAAAAATTGGTAATTTATCTCTGTGTTATAGAAGCGTGAAACTGTCAGGAAGACAGGATGAAGTGATTTGCCTGAGGCCATATTGTCAAACAAGGAATTCATATTCACCTTTCTGGAATTCTTAGGATAATGATTACAAGTGTTCAATTGTTAAAAATTGGCAGATAAAATTGTATGTATTTACCATGTACAACAGAAAATTTTGAGGTATGTATTCTGGAATGACTAAATCCAGTTAACATAGGCATTGTCTCACATAGTTACTTTTGTGGTGAGAACAGTTAATATTCACTCTCAACATTTTCCAAGAATACAATATATTACTAAAAACACTCACCATGCTGTAAAACAGATCTCTTGAAGTATTCCTCCTATATAATTGAAATTTTGTATCCTTGGACCAAAGTCTCCTCACTCTACTCACTCCTCAAGCATCCCTACCCTTGGAAACCACAGTTCTCCTTTCTCTACTTCTACGATATCAGCTTTCAAGAGTGAGACCTTGTGGCATTTGTCTCTCTGTTCCCAGCTTATTTCACTTAACGTAACATCCTCTATGTTCATCCACGTGCAAACCCCTAGGTTCATGTCCTTTTTTAAGGTATAATAGTTTTCTATTGTGTACATGTGCCACAATTTATTTGCCCATTCACTTCTTGATGGATGCTTTAGTTGTTTCTTTCTGTACCTGAGCTATTGGGGACAATGCTCCAGTGAACATCAGAGCACAGATATTTTTACAGGGTGGTGATTTCTTTTCCTTTGGATATATAAACCCAGAAGAGAAAGTGCTTGGTCATATGTTCTTTTCTTTTCTTTTCTTTTCTTTTCTTTTCTTTCTTTCTTTTTTTTTTTAGAAACCTCCATACTCTTTTCCACAGTGGCTGCACCAATCTATTTTCCCAAATTAAACTTCAATGTGCAGATGAATTACCTAAAATTCTTCATAAATTGCAAATGCTGGTTTAGACGGTGTGCTGATTTTGATGCATTTTTAAGACTCCCCTGCCTCCCATCCCTCCCAAGATATACTCACAGATTTTCCATGTATTATCTAGGGTCTTAACCACATTGCTTGTTTTTCTATTAGAGTTTGGAACTGGGTCACCCATGCTCTGAGGCTCTATGAAACCCTGAAGGGATAGGTAAATATATAAGCTCTACAATCCAACGGCTTGGTTTTATATTTTGGATTTGAAACTTAGTAACCATTTTCACCCAGAGGAAATTCCTTAAACTCTCTAAGCTTCAGTTTCTTTATCTGTAAAGTGGGAGTTACAGTTACTCTCTCCCATTGTATTTTTAAAGACCAAATGAGGAACTTGATGTAAATAGGAGCCTAATACCTGGTACATAGTAAATGTTCAATATATATATTCATGAATATTTTTAATTAAAAAATGTTCATTGCAACATTATTCACAGGGGCCGAGATATGAAAATCAACCTAAATGTCTGCCAACAGATGAATGGATAAAAAGGTTTATATACACATAGACACACACACACACAGAGATATATGTACATATCTGTGTATATATGTATATATACACACATGCACAGATATATATGTATATATATACACAGATATATGCACATAATGGAATAGTATTCAGTCTTAAAAAAGAAGGAAGTCCTGTCATTTTCGACAACCTGGAGAACATTATACTAAGTGAAATAAGACGGGGATGGAAAGACAAATACTGCATGATCTCACTTATATGTGGAATCCAAAGTTGAATTTATAGAAGCAGAAAGTAGAATGATGGTTACCTGGAACTAGGATTAGGGGAAATGGAGAGATGTTGGTCAAGGGGTAGAAATTTTCAATTAGGCAGAAAAAGTAATTTCTGGAGACCTAACGTAGAGCATGGTGACTATAGTTAGTAATACTATATTGTATAATTGAAATCAGCTTAGAGAGTAGATCTTAAATGTTCTCACTACACAAAAAGATAATTATGAGAGGCAATGAATATGTTAACTGGCTTGATTGTGGTAATCATTTCATAATGTATACATATATCAAAACATCACAGTCTACAGCATACATAAATATATTCAAATTTTTTTGTCAATTACACCTCATTAAAGCTGCACAGAAAAGCATCATCGATAAATTTCTAAAACAATAATAATAATAATAATTAGCCTGACAAGATGGCTCACGCCTGTAATCCCAGCACTTTGGGAGGCCGAGGTAGGAGGATTACAAAGTCAAGAATTCAATACTAGCCTGACCAACATGGTGAAACCCTGTCTCTACTAAATACAAAAATTAGCTGGGCATGGTGGTGCGTGCCTGTAATCCCAGCTACTCAGGAGGCAGAGGCAGGAGAATCGCTTGAACCTGGGAGGTGGAGGTTGCAGTGAGCCAAGGTTGTGCCACTGCACTCCAGCCTGGGCAGCAGAGCAAGACTCCATCTCAAAAACAATAATAAGCATAATAATAAAAATAAAATAAAAATTGCTTAGAAATTTCAAAATACAGTGCCCTCCACTGAACTTCCTTAATCCACATAGCACTGTAGTTTTAGTCTATAGTAATCGTCACAAAGTTAGCCACTTAGCACAGATTTATTATTGCACAATTTCTGTTGGTCAGAGCCTGTCACATTTTAGCCAAGTCCTCTTCTCAGGGTCTCATAAGGCTATCAGGGTGCTGGCCAACTGCACCCTCATCTGGAGGCCTGACTACAAAAAGATCAGCTGAAAGGCTCCTCAGAGTGTTGGCAGCATTTGTTTCCTTGTAGTTGTAAGATTGAAGTCCCTCTTGCCTCACTATCAGTCAGCTGGGAGTGACCTCACCTCCTCCAGGCTGCTATCAGGTTATGCCACAGGCCCTCTCCATTTCTTTAATAAAGAACTGCCCTCATATTGAATCCATCTCACACCTCAGATCTCTCTGATTTCCCTTCTGCTTTCAACTAGACAAAACTCTCTGCGTATAGAAAGGTTCATGTGATTAAATTGTGCTCTATTTTAAGGTCAAGTGTGCTATGTAATATGACCAAATTATGAGAGTAAAATCTATTATAGTGACATTCCCTGGAATTATGCAGGAGGGAAACTACCGCTGGAGGGATAATCTTTGGGGCCAACTTAGACTATTGATTATTCCATGTTCAAGGAGAGCTGGCATATAATTGGAGAGCTAAGAACTGTCAACATCTCAACATCTAAAAAAATAAAAATTGCAATTGTATTTAAAATGTTAGGAAACATAGTTAGAAATTTAGGGTTTTAAGCAGATATGAAGATCTTTTTTTTTTAATCATGGTACCACCTAATTACAATATTAGATAAAGAAGAACAATTAAGCCTAGTCTATATGTTAGAGAAATATAGTAATTTTTCTGGAATTATTTATTATGTGCAGGCTTCGGGTTATTGGAACAGATCATTGAACATAATATGTTTTAAAGTACTTAAAATATTTTATGAATAAAGTTATTTTTATACAGAACAGAAATAGTTGATATTGAATCAGAAATATTGCATTAGCATAAGTCATAGGTTTAAGGAAATACATTACTAAACAATACGAAGAAACACAGGCAACACTGATTTAAAAAAGATTTACAGACATGAGCTGCATGCAGGTGGTTTATGGACTAGAATTCTATGCCTTCTAGAAGCAGAAAATATGCAACGACTCATTCTGCCTTATGGGCATTTCAGAGCTTTTAATCTAATAAAACCTATATGTCAGCCAGTAGCATGTCAGGGTCTCATTACTCTGCTTCCTTAGAGCCTGATATGGGAGGTTAAGTCCCTGCACAAATGTACCTCTTGGGGTTCCCTGAGGTGGAGCTGTGCAGGTTTGCATCTTTACCTACTGACATAATAAAAAAAAAGATGACATTAAATATTCTATTCCTGTTTTCACTCATGCATTCACTAAGAATGATGAAAGTGGGAACTGTGTGGCATGGCCTAGGAATTGTGCATGAGCACACTGTTTATTTTACATCTCATCGAAGTCAGTTTCTAACCTTCTGTCTGTAGACAAGCATATCACCTAAGCTCCCTCAGAGATTAAAGGTATACTACATAGCTTAAATGGCCCAACTAATGAAAGAGAGGTACCTTTAAATTGCATCTTAATGAGAAAAAATATGAAAAGGAGAATTAATAGAGATTTCTCAAATAAAATTTAGTGAGCATGATTTTTATTATTGAACAATGTTTGCCTATGAAGTCTTATTCAACTTGATGAAAAAATGCTAAGATACATGTGAAGGAGTCCTCATTTTAATACTTTATAAAGTTGCATATACATATACTTAAGAAAGAAAAGTAAATAATGGCATATTTGCTGTCTTTAAATCATTGAGAAAAAAATAAAAGACTACATGTGTCATTTAATTTAGCTAAAGAAGGAAGGTGACTGAAAAATACAGTTTTTACATAAGACACTAAGTAGCTGGCTGGGTTTTGCTAATGTTCCCAAATTTGAAATCATTCAAAAAAGAACACTCCAATGAGCACCAGACAACTGAGAAGTTTTAAAATAAAATTATAACTGCACTTAATCTCACATTGTCTCCTTAGCCTTTTGACATTTTAATTGCTGTGCCATTTTTCACTGAGATGGCAAGCATTTTTTACATATGCATAATGTAGCCTGTGTTAATGCGTATTGATTAAAGTAGATAGTGATGCAAGGATGTTGGAATTTTCCCCACTGTGACCTTACTGAATGTTTCTCTCTGCTCCTTTTGTTTTCTTTATAACCAGAAGGGGGGGGGGGGGACATGTATTTTCCAGTAAGTCTCTATGCTATCTGAACTGTAGTATTAATAGGTGAAAAATGACATGTTTAACAAAAGAAAGACTAGAAAGCATCTACATCACAACCTTGTAAGTCTTCCATTTCTGCATTGGAGACGCTATAGAAAAATCAATAACTTCCGTTGAGTCTAGTGATCTAGCTGCTTACAAGAAATTTACATCTCCCTGACAGGCAGTTTGTGAGGTCTGGTTCACCTGGGTCACAGGAGTACACATAATTTGCATCTTGAGCAATTTCTCTCTTTCCTTCTACCTGTTTCATGAGGAAAGAAGATTGAACCTGGTCATAAAGAGAAGCTCATTACGTCTCAGCTGAGAAGAGTAATTCTGTAGGTGTTCCTGGAGTGCAAGAGTATCATATAATGATAATATTTTCTCATAGCTCTTCAGACCTATGCACACACCAGGAAAT